CCTCAGAACTTCAAGCCGTAGTCCCCAGAACTTCAAGCAGCGTCCCTCAGAGCTTCAAGCCGCAGCCCTCAGGAACTTCAAGCAGCAGTCCTCACGACTTAAAGCTGGCTACTTAGAGCATCAAACGGACTACCCAGCGCTTGAAGCGTACTACTCAGACTTTACAACTGACTAATCAGAACTTCCAGCGGACTACTCCAAGATTTAAGCAGGGCTGTTCAGAATTTTAATGGATTGGATTTAGAGCTCGAAGTGATTGGGTTCTGGGCTTAAAACGGGCTAAAAGCTTAGATCTGAGAGTATTGCAATAGAAAAGACGTGTTATCTCGACCAGTCGTGCCGCGCGTAGCGCGGCAGCCCTGCTAGTTGTACTTTACTTCAGTGTTTTGGTTCCCCTAAGATACTCTTTGAACTCAACCTCTCAAATTTCAGCAGACACCTAAAGCCCCCTAATTCCTTGGCTCCATCTTGCCTAATCCTGCTGCCCTTTTCGGCGACATACGTTTTCCGACAGCACTGTCATATCGACTACATCAATAGTAGCGCACTGACGATGATGGTAGTCACCAGTGCTTGGCCTAGACCAGCTACGTCGTTTCTTCCTCGGCTGTTTTTGTTTTTCGAACTCGCCGTGTGAGCCGCTCTTCCAATTTCGCATTCATGAGCGAACTCCGCCAGAGTGCACTGCACTTTTCGTGTCACGCAACGAGTAAACAGCTATCGTGCACTCTTACCGTTTGCTTGGAAAGCTTTGTATAAGTGTTCGTGTATGTGCAAAAGAGGTACCTAAGTGTTACATTTCAGTCAAACGTCGATGCAAATTTTCGCGTTACCTAGCTCACCTCAACCGTAGCAGTCTTCGGTGACTGTGCTTGCACTTCACTTCAGTGTTTTGGTTCACTAGGCCGCACTTTGAACCGCCTGCTCGAATTTCAGCAAAACCTTCTAATTCCTAGGCTCCGACATACCCAATCCCGCTGCCCTTTTCGGCAACACGTGTTTCCCGGCAGCGCTGCTGTCATTGAGCCCGTTCTCGTGATTAGCGACGGTTGACGTTCGCGCGCGGATTATGGCCCGCCATTCCGCGCGGCTTCCCGTGCGGAATATTTGATTACGTTCGAGTGCCGCCGTGTGGACATAAACAAATTTGCACTTTTGGCCCCGCTGCGCTCATCGTCGCGGCGAGTGTCGAATTGCAAGCCGGTAATGTTATTAGGTATTCACGGAGGCGCACTGCGGACGAGTCGCACTTTATTTTTGACGGCGCCGTCTCGTTCCACCGCGTCGCATTTCACGGACGGCAGAGCACGCAAAGCCGTGCCAGGAAAACTCGGCAGACGCGCATGTTTCTGGTAGGAACCTTATTAGAAGCGTTCCGGCTTCTGGGTACAGAGGAGTTTATGGAGTTTTTTATGGTTTATTCCGCGTAGATCAGGCGCATTTTCGAGAAGTCACATGCTAAGTACTCATGCGGTTATTGCCGAGTGATCTCTGTCATCATGCCCTCTAAAGCCGCCATTCCTGTCATATGTCGCCAATCCTGCCATAGTCGGTCAGACTCGACGTCGTGTTGCGACGCCGATTGCGTCATTACCACCGCCGTCTTAGCCACTTTTGCATGCGGGTGGCTACGAGCGCACGTGGGCCTTACAGACCCGCTGCTCAAAGTGACAGCCTTATCTCTGCTTAGCTGCTCGTTGCGCAACGGTCAGATATCTGCTCCTTGCACGCATTCTATTTAAACAAATGCTTCATACAGAAGTCTTGCTTTGGTTACCCGCGTTTGCATGTTCCATACACTGGCGACGCTAAACTTAACATGCCTTGCGTGTAACGAAGTCTTATCGACTTTACGTAAGAGATGTATATTCTGTGGGCGGGCAATTCAGCATGGCCGTACAGGTTCGTTTGAACGGCCAGTAGTAGCCGCGGTCCGCGGTACGTTTCGAGCCGGGTTCGGAACCGACGGCTTTTGCCTCTCCCCGCCATCGTGCAGCGGATCGTATCTCCTTATTTTATGAAGCGTGTAAATTTTTTGACGAAAATACTGCTGGCGGTACTACTATGATACAGCTCTTTGATTTAGAGGATTCCCGTACAATGTTGTATTCGTCTTTGTTCGGCAGTCGATACAGACTAGCAGTTGCAAGCCGTGCGAGAAGAAACGTCGCGGAAACAGTCTCCGAGCTTAGCGAGCCCGTCGATATCCTACCGAGCTGCGTGGCGCCTGATAGTGCCGACGATGAAACGGTAAGTATATGCTATGTATTGCCGGATTCTGAGGCTTCTTAGCGTTCAGCAAGCTGCTTTTTTTACCTATTTTCATCAAATGGCCATATTCGCAAAGTTCGGCTTGTTGTCCCATGAGCCTTGCTTTATTGTCGGTTCATAAAAAAAGACGTTGGTTGAACAGTTTGAAACATACCCGGCGGCGTCAAAAGGTTTGGAGGTAAGGGGGTTTGAACCAATAGACACCCATCGTGCGAAGCTCATGTGCGAAGCAGACCTCTGAACCTGACTTCCTGAACCTGACTTCCCGCATGCAAAGCGGGCGCTCTACCACTGAGCTATACCCCCGGACAGTGCGAACCGTCTCTATTAAGGTCCCGTACTTCTCATTAACCTCCTTATGGTGCGGTCCATCTTGAGTTGTCCAAACCCATCCTTCTAGCATAGGATGATTAAATTTACGCCTCGAGCTTTTAGGACGACATGCTGTGAAAGTTTTAAAAAATGTACGAAATCAAAATAAAAACGAAAAGAAAATTTACTGGACTTGTTTTAGTCCTCGCTATGGATCTCGCACGAACGCGCAGTGATGGTCTTCGACGTCATCCTTTGGTCGATGGTAGTCCTCCTTATCATCCTCATCATCCGGAAGTGCCAGTCGGACAAGTCGAGCAAAGGCATCACGCGATGCCCCAACTCCATCTATCGGAATGAGTCGAGAATCACGCGGGTATCGTCGGTGCGGAAGGAACTGCTTGGAACCATGGTTTAACCACTGTTTTGTTGCAAAAACGAATAAAATGAAGTGTCACAAGTGCAAGCCATCTGTAAGCACATCATGCTTTTGTCTATGTGCGAACTATGAGGAATGATACGTAGCGCTATGGTTAAGGTTGGTTGGTTAGTATGGTGTTCATAATGCCTGCGTGAAGGCGCCAACGCTACATGCCCGACAGCTGGCAGCAGAGCCGGCGAATGTCGGACGACGCGCAGTGACGGATGCAGCATTGGGAGGCGATGTCTGGAAGAAAATCGTATTTGCGTGTAGACAGCGAACATCATCATACCAATTAAAGTGGGCCGACAGGATGGACAGTGGGTTGTGCGACTACTTCCCTTTACCCGGTAAAATTGTGCCGTCCGTTGCGCAAACCGTTCTGGGAAGGTTCCCCGGGTGGGCAATATTTTAAGTCACGCCCGGCCCGACACCCCTCTCTCAAGGGGTTTTGAAACTGTAGGCCCAGCCGGAGTGATCGAGTCCATGGAGCATGAGTGTGGCCATCCGTCTATATAAACAGAACCAATATTACTACCTATTAGCTCGGCTTCAGCCTTCTCGGACTAGGACCAACGCTTTTGACTTACTGATGACCTTCTTCGAGCGTCCCGTAACGTCTTCGGCGCAGCGCGATGTGCGACAGACTCGCTCCACGTGTGTAGTAAGCATTTTACCGCAGTACTGAGCTGCATTCACTCGTTCAACCAGAACGGCCGACGTCAGTAGAAGTAGGAGAAGCTGCATCCTCGGTCCAATACTCTTAGTCTTTCAGTGAAGCAACGATACCGAACTGCTAGGATACGGTGCTTATGTACCTTGCTCAGCATTGAGCGGTAAACACCTCCTTGAGCGGGTCCACTAGGACCAAGCGCTGTCCAATGGCGGCCATATTACATTTTCTTGACCCGCTTAGCTATATGATGTTTTCTGACCGAACCACGAACTCCGACTCAAAAAGCTGCTATTCGCGGCGAAAATGATGATGATCTTTCCACTTAATGTTGGCCGGAGGACTTAGAAGCCATGTGATTGTCGCGCCACTCTGCGACAATATAATTGCTGTTTATGCACTGTCTGGCTGTTGGAAATGTCATCGCACGAGGGATACTGTGTGGCACATTGGCTACAAAACGTACCAGATAGTTAGCGTTCAGTGACACCTTGTCAATTCGCGAGCGTAGTGTTCAACTCTGGCACCATTTCAGCTTGTTTGGCTTTACGAGCTTAGTCTTTGGCCCTAGTTTTGCTTCCGAGCCTGCAGATGCGACAAGCACTATTCCGAAGTGAAAAAACTGGCCAAAAGAGGTGGCCTTCCGGGAATGTAGGACCAATTTTTTGTTTATGCTTCGAAACAAGTACCTTGGCATACGAAAGAGCCTTCGAGCCCGTAGGATTTGTGACAACATCATTACGCTTCATCCTTTAATTCGACTAGAGCGGATGGTACAGGCAGAGTATACAGCTACGAATTATGTACACTCGGGTCGTACACTGGTGAGAGATGGTGTTTTCAAACACGATCACACCGTCATTGTCGCGTTCATGGGTGTGCAGAAGCCGCAGGTCTTCGCGCATTTGTCCCGCATACAGGCTCTGTACCGTCGCTGGTTGCAGTACCGCGTGTACCTCATGCAATTCCCGGCCTTGTCACTACACATGTCACGGTAGCCTGAAAATGGTGACTCGGTACTGAACGACTTCATTGGCTGAGCAGTGTAAGAGGCCGGAGCGGATGAGTTGTTAGACCAAGTACTGTCCTGATGAGATCGGACGTCATCCCATTGCAAAGCATCCCCTAATGTTTCCTCATTCCCGGGTCGTTGTTCATTTAGCATATGATTTTCTTGAGTTTCTTCAGAAATGATAAACTTACAGCATTCACCATTCATCAGCATTGTAGGGATCGGATCTTGGGGGCATGTGCCGCCGACAGGCGCTGAATATTGCGAGTAAGCTAAAGGTAGCCGAGGAACTAAACCTACGTCCCACGGAGGTGAACCCGGCAGGGCATTGAGCCCTCGATCCGCTAAGCATCACCAATAGGATAAAGGTAGTGCGGAAGCTTGACCGACTACTACAACGCGGAACCATGCCGAATGAAACAACACATCATCGAACAAAACGCGTCTCTTTAATACGGTCGACGCTGAATGACGTGATTTGGTAGTAAACTGACGTTATGTGGTCTCAATCATTGCGCTCGTAGCGTAAGCTTCGTCGTAGCCTTCGGAAAGCTACGAGAAATTGCCAAAACCATTGTGAGCTTCGTAATCGTCGGAATTTGTTTCGCATCGGTACAGCGTAGTTGGTGTTTGCACAACTGCATGCGGGGGTCAGTCGGCGCCGAAGTGGCCTTATGATTTCTAGCTTGAAAGCCATACATGATGTACTGCACAATCGGATATTCAGCTGTTATTTTTGCAAAGGCGGCAGAAGTTCGCTACATTTAAATTGTTCTACTGTTTCAGGCTCAGGCCTACTTAGTTTCTGAGCATAAAGGAACCTCTAACTTGGTGCTCAAGGAAGCCTGTTGGAATGGTCAGAACAAACGGTTAAGTGTCCCCTCGTTATCTAATGCGAAGGAAATGGTCGGAGATTATGGGGTCGCGGAGAGCGGAGGCTAAACAAGGCTTTATTCGTTAAATACAAACATGTGTAGCTGAACAGTGAATGTTTATCGAGGTTGGCCGAGAGATTCTCATACATGGCGATGCACTGATACTGCAAAGGCGTTTCGTAGACAAAGGTTATACTTTTGGGCTAATACGCTTATTTCGGCGTAACTGCGGTTATGCGGCTGGGGAACAGCGAGGACGACGCGGGGTTGTTGAGAGGTAGCACTGGCATGTTGAGCACGCCGACGATGAACGGGACGGAGAGGAGTGCCTAAAGCGAGCAATGATGATCCAGACATAGACAACGATCTTTGGATGTAATTTGATTTGATAATAATTTGTACTGATATAAAAAAATTAACTCACCAGCGCGCCAAGAACGGACTGCTGAAGAAGACGCGTTTATTGGACAGCGGGTTGACGCCGGTGTCGTCCATGCACATGACCATGCGATTCACGAGAATGTGGATCTGAATGATAGCAATTAGGGTTACTGTCAACCGGTAGAATGAACACAACTAAAAGACAGTGCCGTTCCCGTCCCGACTCAAAAGTTTTCGTCGTCACCGCTGTCAACGTTCTCTCTTCTTCTCCCTTTGCCTGCCTGCGGTGCTGAAGTGTCGATTCCTTTTATGGCTGTCCACTGAGTGGCTGCCATAGCAATTTCGGGTCCCCCTACGACCTTTTGGTTCAGAATCACTTTGGTTTACTCCTCACCTAATCGCTATGAGATACTGGCGGATATTCCAATATGACGCACGTAGTAGCAAGCCACTTCTAAGGGTCGCGTCACATGTGTAAAGTGCTGCACGGTGGAGCTTTGCCTTTTCTTACTCGCGTTGTAAGATACGCCACCCCACAGTTCCTGCAAAACGCCTACTTTTCCGCTCTCTTTGGGGGTCGAGCTGGGAAGCTCCGATAAAGCATACCCGGTTTGGCCTAGGCAAACATTCTGGGTAGCTGACAGAGAGGAAGTGTGAACCTATAGTTACCCACGAAAGAAACTTACGTCATTATTTGTGCGAAGATTGAGGGGCTTCGAGAGGCGCAGAGTGATCTTCAACTTTGCGATCTAAGCACGCTTTGAATGGACCAGAACAAGCACGCTCACTTCGCACCTCTTTGACCGGCTTCAGGAGCCAAACGAGTATAGAAATCGTCACGATGAGGCCTGTGACAAGCCAGCTGAGCAGGAGAGCAAGGTGCATGTAGAACATATGCTCCTTGTAAGCCCTCGCCAAGACGAAAGGAATAGCAGACTGGCTGGGCAACATGATCGACATGAAGCAGAGAAAGGTTACGTGGAACGCGTCCTTGCCCTCGCCTCCGTACATCCGCCGGGAGAGTTCCATCAGTTCGATAAGGTGCTCGTGAAGGCTTCTGAACTTCGTCAAAACGTCCTCCTAAAGGTAAGGTCAGTGACTATAAGGAGGACGTTTTGCAGAATGCCTTGCAGAAGCTCATGTTCTTGGACCGAAACATCAAGGTGAACATTTGGGGCATCGATAAGCGTGTACTGAACGTTTCGCTCAATAAAACCTTTATGGACGGTATCGATGTTCGGTCAATTTTTGAAAGCGAACCGTGTTAAAATTTTAGAATCAAATCGGAATCATTTTGAAAGCGGGTCAAGGTTTCGAATCTAAGGGGCGCCAGCCCTCACTCACGTCCGGCATTGCGGGACTCAGCTCGTTCAGGACTTCTTCGAGGTTCTGCTTGTACGTGTCAGCTGCTTCTGAGAGTGCGCTTTTTGTCAGGAAGAGGCCGATGATTAGCGCCACGGAAGACAGTGTACCAAAGAGGAATAGCGAGGTAGCGTCAAACGCGAACCACCACGGTGAAGTCAGCCCAGTGCGGCTCAAGATCGGCTGTCTAGATTGGAACAACTGAACAATTCCCCATCAATGCGACAGCATGCGTGGCGCCGGGACCAGAGCCATGCAAGGACTTTAAGC